CAAACCACCCCCCCTCAAACGAACGAAAGCTCCCAGGGCCCAAAACCAGGTACCCTGCCAGCCCCCGCTGTCCGCGCCGGCCCGGCTGCCGCACCCGAAGTGTCAGAATCGCTTCCTGGGAAATGTCGCTTGCCCAGGAGTGTGATCTCCCGTGGGTGTAAACACAGCATCCAGCCTCGAGAGGTTTCACGCGAAGCTGTTAAAGCGGGAAAACCACTGCCAGGAAAATAAAAAGGAAATGAAATAACAGAGACAAACAATATCCGACTTTTGAGGGGCCCGACAGAAGGGGAGAGAGAAAAACGGCGGAAAACGTTGTGTTTATATTGTGGAATTAACCACGATTTCACAAGAGCAAGTCTGTGAAATGGTTAATGCTGTTTTGTTTTTTTGTTTTTGTTTTCCGAATGATACTTCGATCTTTTGATTTTCAAACTGTGAATCAGTTGTGGCTGAGGCGAAGCCGTCTCCTGTGTGAAGGAGGAGGCTGGGGCTTTGCCCGCTGAGAGACGAAGGTGTGGGATAGTTAACTCCGAGAGTCCTCTAGTGGAAATGCTGCTTGTAGTGGCCAGACAGCTATTTTCCAAGCAAATAAGCTATCCAAGCAAAAGGTTTGCTTTGGGGCTGTTGTTGATCTAGTTATGTCCGCCACTGGGCAACAGTACCCCACCAAATTTGAAAAACCAAAGCAAGGTGTCACAACTGTTAGACTTTTTTGACTACCTGCAGTTGAGCAGTCATAATCTGTATTTTGAAAATGGAAAAAAAAAACCCCAAACAACGATCCTCACTCTCCTGCTACTACCTTGCTTACACTTACATCAAATTCTTTTTAGACACCATTTAGCACGTTCATATTGTCTTTATGGGGGTTTGTGGGTGTGTATGTGTTCATGAGTTGGCATTGGTGTAGCCCTGACCCGCTTTTTGGTGCTTCTACAATCTTCCAAAATGCAAATAAATAATAGTTAACACTAATTTAAGTAGCAGTAATGTGGCAAAACTTACTCTCGTCAGTCTAGATATTTTCTCTGACACCGAAGAAATGCATGAAATTATTTCATTTATCACTCTTTTATTGGAATTATTTGTGTATCCACTGTTAATTTTATCTTGGTGGGAGCTATCAGTATGGTTTCAACACGGGGCCTTAAATCTCTATGTGTTCCAGATTTCCTCTGCCTAAAATGGAGAACATTATATTAGATATGACTACAAACATAGTTCTTTCAGGCTGAGCTAGACTTTGATCTCCCTGTCGCGTCAATTAGATGGCTTCAGCTCCTTGAGTTGTTGGATTGAGGGATACGAGGTAGTGCTGTTCTTCAGAACTGTGATTTGAGGTTTTGCATGCTTTATTGTTGTTATTTTTTCCTATCACAACTTACTGAGGACAAAAGATCTGGTACATTTTCAGTGCTTGAAGAAAATCTCCACAATAGTATTTTTATGTCTTGCAGAGATATTTTGTATTTGATCACTTAGTACTAATGCTGTTATTTTAGAAGTCTTATTTTGAGTTAGTTTGTATTTTCTTATATTACAAGGCTGTTTAAACACTTGAATTTCTTAATAGATGCTTCCCAGTTCTGGGCAGATGGCACTTTTTGGAGAGGATGTTGGCTTTGCTCTGTGCATTAGCTAACAGAGTTGTAACTGTTTTAAAGATGCAACATATTGTATGATCATTGTAACTGGTGTATTGTTTTTGAAACACAATTGACTTATGTTGTCCCAGAGCTGTAAATCCTGAGTGTATTCCCAAGTTTTTTTGCTTTTTTTTTTCCAGGTGACTGGGAATTGCACTTTTATCGTCCACTAAACCAACCTCAGCTTAATAAAAAGTTATAATATTGCTGTCCACTACACCTCGATTTTAAGAGCTGACAGGCTCCTACAGGTAATTTAATTTTATTTTATTCCAGGTATAAATGAGATATTTATTGCATCTAAAATGTTAGTTCTTTTTAAAACCATTATTATCTCTTGATACCAGATCTGTTACTCTGAAGAGCAGATTATGAAGTGAACTGATCTGTTTGAGGAAGAGAAAGCTTAAAAAAAATTGTTTTTCAAGTATTTCAGTTCTGTTTTGAAAACAAAACCTATCGTATCCAACACAACAGAATGGAAGTTTCCCATTCTTGGATCCCTTTCTTTGTATGATAAGCTTTGGCAAATCACAAATCTCTGCCACATGGCCTAAAATAATTTTTTTGAGAGGTGGGGTAATAGTGATTTCCTTACCACTATTGGTAATTAAGGTGTGTAAGAAAGAAAGAGAAGTTCCCTCCTGCTGGAAACAGCCATGTGGATTTGCCTTTCTATTTTGTTTTTTTGAAAGTCAGTGTGGCTTATTAGCAACCAGGACGAATAGCAGACAGGAGCTGCTGAGGTCTACTGTAAGTTGTCTTAAGGAGGGCATGCTTAACTTGGAGAGAGTTCTTAGTGAAATGTGTCAGAATGTCAGGGTCTGTGTTAGCTTGTGTTATTATCCCATCGCCTCATCTACAGTGGAGCTACTCCTGTTTTATATAGGTATGACCATGGTGATCATCTGGTTTCACACATGTAATACTACATTCAACCTCAGTGTCCAGTTGTGCCACAGATTTATAGTAGTGGTAGAGAACACTGAGTTGCTAAGGAATCAAGTGTTGGTATTTCAACTGCTGCAGCCTGGTAGTCTGATGTCACCTCGTTATTGAATTGTGGTTTTGACTAAAGGTTATGAACATCCAGACTGTTGGTTTCCAAACTTCATATCTCCTTCATTATTTCATGGCACTATTGTCTCTGATAGTAATTTTGAAGCCTGTGTTTATTTAAGCATGTATATCTGCCTGTTTCCAGCAGATGGCAAGATATTCCTAGGCAACTGTCTGGGAAACACAGTTGTATATACAATGCTTATAAGTACTAGTTCTTTATTTTAATGCTGCAGGCTGTTGAGAACTGTTCTTTAAAAATTAAAGGGAAAAAAATATTTGGGGTTAATGATAGCATTAATCTATAGTACTG